ACACTTTATGTGTGTGTGTGGGTGTTATAGAGAGAGACACACACAATGTGTTTGGAGGTAGAACAAATAGGAGGATAGGAGAGAGAGAGAGAGAGAGAGAGAGAGAGAGAGAGAGAGAGAAACATTTGCACACAGAGACTCCAATCAAAATGTTACTAAGTAGATATAACATTTGCTCTGATCTTTGCCATCTATGCAATTGTCATATAGCCATCTTATAGCCATCTATGCAATTGTTTGGCATGTCCACTTAGTTCCCCCTATGTCCAGGCAGAATGTTAGGGTTAGTTCAGCACCAGGGATAGTCCCCCTAGGTACAGGCAGCATGTTAGGGTTAGGTTCAGCACCAAGGACAGTTACCCCATGTCCAGGCAGAATGGTAGGGTTAGGTTTAGCACCAAGGACAGTTCCTCATATGTAGATGCAGAATTTGGGGGTTAGGTTCAGCACTATGCACAGCACCCATATGTCCTGGCAGACTGTTGGGGTTCGGTTCAGCACCAGGGACAGTAACCCTATGTGCAAGCAGAATGTTAGGGTTAGGTTCAGCACCAGGGCCAGCTGTGGAATGAGGTGACCCCCACACCCCCAAATCACACCGTCCCCTCACTCACCGCTCTCCAGGAATGCATCCACAGCCGAGAAATCCACACAGCCGGCTCGGATAGACTGAATCAGCTGCTGAGAGGAGCCTAGGCTTCTATAGCTTGGTGAGAAAGAGAAGGCTTTGCGTCAGTACAGAACAAGGTGCCCTTCGTGTGACATTTTCTTGATAATAAGAGTTTGATAAATCATTACTTTTACATTCACATCTTAAAGGGGCCGCGTCCTCCCAGATCTCCGCGAGCTGTCAGTCATCCGGGAGATTGCGTAGTTAATGCGACTCATAGGAGGGTGGGGGGATCAGTAATTAGAGGGGGCACGCCAGGACCACGTCCTTTTGCATTAAATACACAGCCAGCAATGAGTCCCTGTCAGCTCCAGTATGTTTTTTATTCCCTTTGCATTCGCATGCTATTTTTGCCTTGCTGGGACTCTGCAGTGTCTGGATTGCCAGGATCAGAGTCAGATTTGTATTGCGGACCCTGCAATCTGCTTCTCGGGGATGAGCTGCAAAGAGTTAATGGTCGACTATCAACTGTGAATATTCAGAGATTATCTGTGCTTTATAAAGTCTCTAATTAGCCCATTAAAAGGATTTACTATTCAATTACGTATATTTGGACGTGCCATGGCCTTGATAGTTCACAGAAGTGTCTTTTTATGTCATAGAGGGCTCAAAGTTATATAGAGATAGACAGACTGATAGAGATAGATAGATAGATAGATAGATAGATAGATAGATAGATAGATAGATAGATAATAGATAGATAGATAGATAGATAGATAGATAAAAAGATAGATAGATAGATAGATAGATAGATAGATAGATAGATAGATAGATTGATAGATAGATAGATAGATAGATAAGGAAAGGAACATAAATACGGATATATAATTTTCCACATACATACAGAGATGCATCGATAGAGATAGCTAAATAGATAGATAACAGATAGATAGATAGATAGATAGATAGATAGATAGATAGATAGATAGATAGATAGATAGAGAGATACCTAGAAATGGATACAAAAACTTGCCAAATAGATACATCCATACATACATACACATACACCTATACATACATACATACGCAAATAGACATATAGGAGCAATTCGCTATTCGGGGTACACTGAAAGCTTATGGAGCTCTCCATTTTGCTGAAGAAAATCTACAACTTACCATTTGTTATCTACATATACAATTTGCTGTTTTAATATTTTAAATTGCTCAGCCGTTTCTGTTTTTACTTTCTTCATATTTTATTTCCTCATTCTTTTCTGGTTTTCTCGAGTTCATCCCGTGTAAGGATCAGACACTATTATGCTGTGTTATGTCAATGCTTCTTTTTTTTTTTTTTTGGCTTATGGAGTTTTTCCCCTCGGCACAGCACCTCAGAAGCAAAAAAAACATATAAATATACATTTTCGTTTCTTTCTTTTGTTAGAAAATCCTGACTCTGAATTTTGTGTAGTAGGACGTTCAGAGAAGGTGCAGGGCCCTAGAATCACAGGAATCGAATTAACGGAGCTCAGACTGACATATGGGATAAAAGTAATTGTACAAATGGTATCGTTTATTTTCTCAAATATTTAATGAAATTTTCTGTTATTATTATTACCAAAATTAATATTAATTAACTAATAATGTAGTGTATGATATTATTTTTTAGACATAATAAATAAATGTCCCAGCAAAACGACTCAATTAATATTTTTTTTTCCCTTTAAAGTGTCAGTAATAAAAGGCTACACCACGCACCGCATTTACTATCAAACGTGACGTCACAGAGAGTTAACCCCCCTGCCTGCCAGGGAGCCCTCAGCCCCCTACACATCTAAACGTATTGGTCAGTATACATGGCGCTTTATGGGTAATTGAAATACTGCGCCCACTGCACCGGGTCCTAAGTACATGGAAAGGGGGGTGTGCTTTACTCACCGTAGGCTGTGATTATATATTGTGTGTATTGCAGAAGGTGAAGTATGACAAAAAGAGAGCTATAGAGGAAAAGAGACAGGAGAAAGAGAGTGGTGGAGAGAGTGAGACAGAGAGATAGACTGCAACATAGAGACAAAAAGGGAGGAAATAAATAAATACATAAATAAACAAAGAAAGAAAGAAAAAGAAAGAAAGAAAGAGCTATGAAAACAGAGTTATATATATATAGATAGATAGATAGACAGACAGACAGACAGACAGACAGACAGACAGATAGATAGATAGATAGATAGATAGATAGATAGATAGATAGATAGATAGATACAGAGAGAGAGAGAGAGAGAGAGAGAGAGAGCAGAAATGAGAGGAGGGGAGGACAGGTAGAAGGACAATGGGGTCAGAGAGCTGCAGATATTCTGCTCAGTTTTCATATTCTGGAAAATGATTTGGTTACTTTTTGGTGAAAAGCTTTCAACATTGGAAATGTCAACTGTGGATTTTGTGCAATAATATAAACTTTTCTGGCATGTGTTATACATTTAAACAAATAATTGATGATATTCTTCTGCAGGTTATTGCAGTCATGTGTATGTAACTCTGTTATCTGGATCCCATTACACTGCATTGTCTTATGCTCAGCATAGTACTTTTTGGATGGTATCTTGATGAGTTCTCTCCTCTTGTTCCTCTCTGTGCCTTGCACCTATATATCGATTTGTATACCTGGACCCTGGATTTGCTTTATATCTTTTAATAAAGATTGACAGATATTTAAAAAAAACATCACATCTGAAAATGATACATCCTGTATTAAACCTGAAAAGAGTCACTGGCACCTGATGACCCTTAATCTCAGCATAACTTCTAAACCCAACACTAACCATGTATTTAACCATTCAACTTACCCCTTAACCTAACCATGGTCCCTAACACTAACCTTTAAGGCTCGGGCAAAATGTACATCATCACAATGATTAATACAAAACACTGCAATAGTTGCAACCAAAGCACAGCTGTATTGAAATTTTAATGCAGTATGCACTTGTTTTCAATATCACCATATCAGTGTGCTAAGCCTCCCAAGCCCGGCCTTCCCCCTTAAGCCTCTTTGATGTTGATTGAGGCTGCCCATCACATTAAAGGACCAATAAGGAG